AAAATGCTCATGTTAAAAAAATAAAAATAAGTGCTTTATGCTCTAAAAGTTCAATACTTTAGTAAAAGTTCATAATTAAAATAAAAAAAGAAAGAAACTGAGAAACTGTTTTTTTTTCCTATAAAGAGTTTTGGGTTTTCCAGCTCTGAGCAGGTTGTGTGACTCGTTCTCTTTTCCTCTTTCTGTTTTGTTAAGGTTTTATTGCTGTAAATGTCAAATATCAACCTCTTCCTGTCCTGTAAAACATTCTTCACAGAGTTATGAGCTGAAGGGTTCGTCACAAATTCATGTCAGCGTTCGCTGCCAAGCAACACAATTCCACAAACCCACTTCCATGTAAAATACTCGACTCTGAACCGCTGGATGACTCTGTTCTGCCGTAACACAACTGGGCCTGAATTTCTGCTGTCGCTCGGTAAGAAGTAAAACTTTAGGAGAAACATACAAATGCATTACAACAAAATGTTTCATTAAGATTTATTTGTCTCATGTGATATTTTGCTAACACATTATTGCCCACTTTTCATGGTGACAAGTGTTAAGATGATCACGGGTTAAAGTCTGGTGTCCTCAGATTATTTCTGTAAATTGTACCATGACTCATCAAAAAAAAAATTCTTTATATTGTTTTCACTGGTGATTTTATTTTAAGTTTTATTTGCTTTTATTTTGGTAATTTTAGCTTTTAATTATGATTGTATTAATTGTAATTTTGTAAATGTAGCTTTCAGCTGCTGCTTTGCTAATTGTACTTTTTTAACCACTTTGTTTTTGCTAACTTTACATTTTACATATAGCTATTTAATTTTAGCTTTTAGCTGTTTATGTCCTAATCATAGCTTTAAATTGTGGCTTTGCTAATTGTGGCTTTTAGATAGTTTTCATACATTTAGGTTTTAACCACTGTTTTGCTAATTGTATATTTTAGCGAATTGTTGGAGCTAATTTTACCTTTGAACTGGTTTTGCTAGCTTTTAGCTATTCTGCTCATTTTAACTTTTACATATGATCTTGTTATTTTAGCTTTCAGCTGCTTATTTGCTAATTGTATCATTAGATTATTATTCTGATAGTTGTAGCTTTTAGATTGTTTTGCCTGCTAATTGTAGCTTTTCGGGTATGGTTTTGCTAATTGTACCTTTTAGATAGTTTTGATGCATTTAAGTTTTAGTCGTTTTGCTAATTGTATATTTTAGTGACTTTTTGGGCCTACTTTTAGCTATTAACTGGTTTTCCTGATGTTAGCCATTAGCTATTTTTTGCAATTTTTAAAATTTTGCATATGATCTTTATTTATCTTTTAGCTACCTATTTGCTAATTGTATCTTTAAATTATGGTTTTGCTCATTGTAGCTTTTGGATAGTTTTGATACAATTAGTTTTTAGCCACTGTTTTGTTAATTGTATATTTTAGTGACTTTTTGGAGCTAATTTTGAACTGGTTTTTCTGATGTTAGCCTTTAGCTATTTCTGCTAATTTTAACTTTTACATTTGATCTCATTTTAGCTTTTAGCTGCTTATTTGCTAATTGTAGCTTTTAATTGCGGTTTGGATCAGAAGGAATTTTACAGATGACAGTATAACGATGCATTTTGTCCACTCACCTGCTGATTGGTCAGCTTGGGGTAACTTGGACACGGAGTTCTGAAGCGATGCCAGCTTCGACTTCATGATCCGGAGACCTTCCGTAAACCGGATCTCCTGGCCTTTGAGGAACTTCTCCATCTGACGCAGCAAGCCGACCACCTGGTGCTTATCCATGCACGTCTGTTGAGGAAGCATGAGAACCACTTGAAATATAAAATGAAACATTTTGTCAGAGCGTTCCAAAAACACTGAAAAGCACAAGGTCGCCTGAGTTTAATGGTGGCAGAACATTGTGCAGCTGCAGAATGATGTCATTCGTGTTATTGGTGGGCACACAAGTCGTCTTGGTTACAGGGGGTGTTTTTCTTTGCAACGAAACACATATTAGTGTGTTTTTACAACAGCTGATGGCACACGAGCCTCCCTGCGATCCGGTTGGCTTTATTTGTCTTTGCGACACCCTCTGGGCTCCTCGTTCCTCCTCACCTCTTCTCACTCACAGCTCCAGACACAGCTGGACTGAAGCTGTCAGGCAGATGTCAGGGGGAGACCTCAGTCCAAAACGCTGTTCCTCTGTATATTTTTGCACGGCTGCAGCAAAGGCACAGCGAGTAATCCTGAACGAGCGGGGACTCAAAATAGCACGGGTGCCACAGGCAGTTACTTTGAGGAAAATGTCTGCTCCAAAGCATTGCAGAGAGTCTCCAGTCCTTTCAGAAGAGTTTATTAATCACATGCTCACTGGAGCCGTTTCTCTGCACGGCATACCTTAAATTCCTCCGCTGGTGTATGGCAGGCTCGGTACAATCACAATTAGCTACAGAACAGTTGAACTGAGGCAGCAGGACTCCGTGTGCTTATTTTACCTGCTCAAGGCAAAGGCGAAATGTCCCCCGCTGACATGGGAGGATTTAGATCCAGATGTAGCGTTTTGTTGATTTTATTTCATTCTTTAAAACAATCAAGGAACCACTAAGTTTTCAACAGTTGGGGGCCAGATGAGGCCCACTGATAATCTTGGGGTACAGAACATCCAAATCAAAAGCCTCATGTATTAATGTTGTTGTCATATTCTATAAGAAAAAAAATACTGAGATACTTTCTGTTTTTAGAAGAATAATAATTTTAAACTTTATTTTAATCATTCTAATTACAGTAACAACATATATAAAGTGATATGATCCACACTAAACAAATCTTTCAAGGGTAAGGGGGCCAGCAAAATTTTAGAGGTGGCTATTGCCCATCATGGCCCCCCTCATCTTGGTGACACCCCTGCTCATAAAACAGTTATAAAAAACTTTGGATGTGGATGGTAAAAGGAGATAAAATGGTCAAAAACACAAGAAGTTGGTCACTTTTTAGCCAAAGAAGTGAATAAATAAAACACTTTGAGCCACGTTTTAAAAAAATGCATTATTTGTTCTTACCTGAACACTTGTTTGGCCGCTCTGAACCGCTGTCAAACACAACAAGATCAGACACCTGCGCGGAAAACACAGGTCCATTTCTAAAAGTCCGGGAAGTAATGCTTCCTGCTGAGATGTTCAAGTATTTAACAGGTTTCTTTTCCTGAGCTGAATAAACAAATATATATCCCCATAAAACAACGTTTAAAGCGCTTCTCCTGTGAGAAACCGAGGACGTGGGACATCAGGTGTCTGAACCAGAGATGCGCTCCAGCCTCTTTCTGCGCGCTTGGAAAGTTTCAGCTCTGCAGGCTGCCCTGGTTTCCTGCAGGAATCCCTCCCACTCATCAGATCCACGCTGCTTCAGATCAGTTGTTGTATTTTCTGCAACACTTTTCGGATGTTGAAATTAAAAATTCACACAAATTGAAATGTAAAAAATATATAAGTTTTACATTTGGTATGCTTTCAATTGTCTGCAAACATTAAACAGACGTCTTATGGCAAGTCGTTGTACCACATAGTTAAAAGAGATTATTACGTGTCAATAAGAGCATTCTTCCTAATCAAAATAATCTTACCAGGCAAACAGAAATTAAATATATCTATAACAGCACTGTTACTTGCAAAAAAATAAAAATAAAAATCAATCAATCAATCAATCAATCAATCAATCAATCAATCAATCAATCAATCAATCAATCAATCAATCA